GTGGGAGCAGTCATAAGCATAAAGGTGAGGCTAAAGAACAAGACAGGAAAAAGGAGAGGAGTCGAAGTGTAGACAAAGACAGGAGAAAGAAAGATAAAGAAAGGGACCGTGAACAGGATAAAAGAAAAGAGAAACAGAAAAGGGAAGAAAAGGATTTTAAATTCAGTAGTCAGGATGACCGGTTAAAAAGGAAGCGAGAGAGTGAGAGAACATTCTGTAGGAGCGGTTCTATCTCTGTTAAAGTCATAAGGCACGACTCTAGACAGGACAGTAAGAAAAACGCCACCAAAGACAGTAAAAAGCATTCAGGTTCTGATTCTAGTGGAAGGAGCAGTTCTGAATCCCCTGGAAGTAGCAAAGAAAAGAAGGCTAAGAAGCCTAAACATAGCCGGTCGCGCTCCATGGAGAGATCTCAAAGGTCTGGTAAGAAGGCAAGCCGCAAACACAAGTCTAAGTCCCGATCAAGGTAGTATACTTTTTAAAGTATTTTGTCTGATTTTTTTTTTAAAGTTTTTGAATTTATTCAAAGTTGAAAGTGTCCTTTCTCTCTCTCTCTTTTATAAACTCAGTTTGGTATTTGTTAAATATTTTTAAATAATGTTAGAAATCCTGTATAAAAGTATTTATTTATATTGCAGATTTTAAGTATAAATACATTTTTATTTTTAAATTTTGTCTTTTCCCTTTTTTTTTTTTTTTTCAGATCAACAACCCCTCCCCGTCGTAAGCGCTGAGGAATGATGTGGCAAGAATGCCATGATGCTGTTTTTAAAAATTCCATGAGTTTTAAGGGCTTGTCTCATTATAGAGGCACATTGTGGCTGTGTAGGTGAAACCAGATATTTTTTTTTTAATTGTGTAAATAGGTGTCTTTTTCCAAATGCTGCTCCAAGTTACTGAATAGGATTTCTTTGTATTACATTTTTTCAAGAAATAGTACTTAATAAGACTCTAAATATGCCATTCTCTTTCAGCTGTAATGTTCTTAAAATTATTCTTGAATGTACTGTGATGTCAATAAAGCTCTTTAGTTCATTTTTGTTAAACTCTTGCACCTTAATTTTATGATTTTAATCTAAGGAACGAACTTTTATAAAAAGGCAGCTGAAATTTTGTCTAACAGGTTTTAAAAATTCCTCCCATCTTCTCCAAAGAAAATGGTTTTAACCTAATGGTTTGTCAAAGTTTGTTAATTGTGCCCATGGACTTTTGTCAAACTCCAGTTCTAAAGGTATGGGAAAGGGCCAGAAAATGACCTTACTTTTCTCTGAAGGCATCTGATCAGCTTTCCAAACATTTTTTTGGGAGGTTGGGGGTTTTCAAGTAATATATTCTTTATGTGTATAAAATGTGATTCACTTCTGTAAAATGAAATTGCTGGAAACAATCAGGCCATTACACCAGTAGAGTTATTTGTAATGACTATTTGACACTAATAGTCTGGAACTATATAGTCACTCCTATTTTACATGCATAACACCTTGGGGTTACCATAGAAATAGGACTTAGGATTCAATATATTTATATTTTTAAAATATAATATGACCTCAGCTTAATGGAGAAATACTGTGTTATGCGGGATTTGGTCAATTACATGACATTAAAATGGTCTGATTTTCTCAGTTCCAAAACCTATGAATAGTAGGCATTTTGACAAGTGTTCAGCTGCTTCGGGGTCGTTTTTGAGATGATACACTTAAGCAGTGATAGATAGTTGAATCTCTGAAAACAATGCTCTTAACTTTTAACTGAAAAAGAGAAGTGTAAGTGCAGAACACAGAGTTCTAAAGTATTATGCTTCCGTACCAGCAATAGTTCATTTTAAACAATGCCAGGTTTGCCAAGATCAGTGTTTCCTCGAAATGAAGACAGAAATAGATTTGTTTGTGTGCTCTTGTACCTCAACATAGCATCTTAATTTTGAGCAGTTACGCATTTATCTAAAGGAAATAAATCTGTGAATAAATGCATGTTTACCAAAATGGCTGTTTACAGTGCATTTAGTTACAATATTTATGAAGTTGCCATTTCACAGAATAAAGAGTTTGGAGTTCTCTACAATCTAGTCATCAGTGACATCTGGAGACAAAATGTGCAATATTTTTATGTAGGTGAGCTAACACAGTGTACCTAATGGAAGAATTCTGATTAATTTGTAATAGATAAGTTGTATAAAATTTTCATACCTTAAAGTGTTTTAGATCAATCTTCAAGTGAAGTATTATTTTCAAAATAAAATTCTACTGAAAAATTCTGCTGGCTATGATACATACATTATTAGACATACAAATGAAAGCCAAAAGGAATTTTGCCAGTTTTAGTTAAGAATTTGCACGCTTTTTATCATTAAATCTAACTTTTAAAAACCAACAAAGTATTCATGATTATTAGCATATATGCCTGCGTTATGATTGTATTTCCATCTGTCAAATTTTTGTGGAAAATATATGACGTCCTTTACATGTGAGTATTTATCTGAGTAGAAAAAAAAATTTTTAGGTAGGGTTTACATAACTTAGCATGTGAATGTTAAATCGTATATGAATGTTTATGAAATGCTTTAAAAATTACCCATTTGAAAATGAGTATTCAGATTTTGAGACAGTCGGTCTGAATTGGTTAATCAGGACTGTCTTCACGAGTCTCCTTTGAAAGCTGCAGACGTGGCTCTAAGAGGACTTGCTGCAGCTCTGACAGGCCGCAGAGTTCACCTTCCAGCACCTGCACTAGGCAGGCCAGAGCCCCTTAACTCCAGCCCATGCACACATGAGCATGGGAGAGAGGTGGAGCATGCTCTTCCGGGCTGGAGGGTGAGTCGCAGGTAAGGGTGCTTGCCCTAATTCTGGAAGACCAGAGTTTGATCCTCAGACCCCACTGGTGGAAGGAGAGGGCCAACACTGGAAGCTGTTTTTTCCTAAAAGTGTTTTAGAGCAATCTTCAAGTGAAATACTATTTCCACTTCAATCACACTAATAGTTCTTAGTATTAACTTAATAGCATTCTTCTGTAGCCCACACTTGCACATGCGCCGCAGGCATATATCCAACATTCTTTAGTGAAGAGATCATATGTTATTGTGGAATATGGGTAGACCCCACCCCAGTAAGATAATCTAATCTAATTTGGGAAAGGAAATTACAAGATGTGTTTCAGGCCCCAAAATATAAATATTGTGCAGTTTTTTTAATATGTATGTCTTCTGCCTGTTGACTGCTTTTTATAATGATGAAACATAATAGGTAAATATTCAAATATAGTCCATTTTAGTGTAAACCATTTTATTTAAAGAAACATGAAGTATAATGGCACATGAACTTTGCAACATATATAGAGCCTTGGCTCTGTAGCCTTGTTTGTCCTGGACTCACTTTGTAGACCAGGCTGGCCTCGGACTCTCACTCATCTGTCTGCCTCTGCCTCATATTTTTTAATTAATTTTTAAAAATTTTTTTCTCCGTGTTTTGCCTTCATATGTCTACACTGTACACATTTTTGACTTGCAGTTGTAGACCTGGGTGCTGGGAATGAAACCTGGGTCTTCCGGAAATGTAGACAGTGCTCTCAACCACTAAGCCATTTCACCTGCCCCAAGAATAATTTTTTTTATAATGGGGTATGGTGTGTGATCTCTTCAGACCCTGATCTTTAAAATTTTTTTATTTGGAAAATTTTAGGAGCTGCATAAGGCCCAAGATTCCTATAAAACCGCTTTATAGTCATGCTTGCTTTTGGAGTCAAAAAAGTTTTAGTTAAAAATATTTTTTAACATACTGAAATTTCTAAACTGAAAAATAGTAATAGCGAATGTGTGTTTTCTGTATTAAAGGGGCCTTGAAGAGGGTGTAAATGGTCTGGAGAGGGAGTTACTGTGAGTCACAGCGTGAGTGCTGGACACTGAGCTTGGGTCCTCACTGAGCCAGTTCTTCAGCTCCCCTTCAAGTTCAGTTTTAAGTAGAATTTGGCAAGCTAGAGTTTCCCAGAGTTACAGAGTGATAATCTTTTTGAGTAAATACAAAAACTCATTCAGCTGAGTGGATGTAGTGGATTGTTCAAAGGATTAAAACTTTGAATAGACATAAAGTGACTTATCCTTCAGTTTTTGATTAAAAACAGGAGAAAACACATACATGTTCCATAGGTGCTGAGTTTCCTAAAATACATGCGCTAGTTTACAGCTTGCTTACGGATGAGATGAGTTACTCTAGAAAATTTCTGCAACAGTGGCTACCCACTGCATTACAGGGTTACAGTTTTATTTCTGACAGCTCAGGCAGAACAGAAAAGCTTTTTGTTGTGCTCGGGATTTAGAAAATTCTTTGCTTCCTATCCGTATTCAAGGCACCTCACTCATTGCCTTGTTGGAGTGAAACTGGGAAGGCTGTGAAGCTGTGTGGTGTACGTTTAATGTGAGTAGAATACACGTACAGGAAGTCCTAGACCTTTAACCGTGTTTGCTCCGTAGACTTTCCCTGGACCTGTCAATCCAACAAAAACATAAGACATGCTAACTTTTGTATAGAGCTGTTGGCCTTCATTTGGAGAACTGGCCGTATTTCTCCAAAGTGACGCAACATGGTAATAGCAGCTGAAAAGCTTAGAGAATGTAAGTGAGAGCCTAGTAAATTTCATTAATTCAGAGGATGACACTGCCTTTTGGAAATGTATAATGATTCCCTATATTTTTTAAGCCATTCCTGGTTTGCTTTCTTTGCTGTGATAACACACTGACTAAAAAGCAACTTAAAAAAGAGTTGACACTTTCCAAAGGGCTGGATCCCCACCCCACCCACCAAAGGGCTGGATCCCCACCCCACCCACCACATCAACCATTAATCAAGAAAACGGCCTCAAAAGAGCCCACAGTCCAGTCTAGTGACAGTTCAAGTGAGGTTCCCCATTTCCTGGTGAATCGAGTTAATGTCAAGTTGGCAAAACAAAAAAACTAGCGCGCAGTCCGAAGTGGAGTGTTCGTGCTGATCCCTGTTTCGACTTCCAAAGAAACTGTCGAAACTGTTTTTGCTACGCACGGTGTAACCTGTACAGAGTATTGGGTCAGTTTCAGAAAAAGTATTGGGTACTTTAAATTTGGACTTCTGTTCTCTGTGATACTTGAGCGTCCTGAAAGAAAAAGTTCTGCTCTCAGAAGTGCTTCCATACTTGTCATTTCGAGCATTAGTCAGGGCCTTCCAGGAAAACACACGTCTCTGGGGGAGATTTTGCTAAGGGCAAAATCTGCACGCCGTGATACATAGGAATGGAAGGTATTTGTGGTCTTTTGTTAGGAACATTTTGTTTCATTGCAGACATAATTTGGTTAAGGAGCTCGAATTAAAAGTGGCCACAAACTCACACGACCTGTAACGTAAATGCAAAAGCCCGCAGCGGACGGGAGTGTGGGCGTCGGAACCTTCCGTCGGGGATTTGCTGTGAGGGGGGACCGGAAGAGGACTGCGATTCTTGTGGCGATGTGGCGAGGCGGAAGGCTGCGCTCTCGTGGGGTGCGTTTTCTGGAAGCGTTTGGGTTGGGGCGGCCCAGCGCGGTGGCGGAGCCTCCCCGCGCAGCTTGGTCGGGTGAGTGTCGGTGCGGGGCGGCCTCCGCGCCTGCGCGCCGCTGCGGCTCTGCGCAAGCGCGGCGGGGAGCGGCGGCCGCGGCGGCTGGGGAGAAGCTGAGGGTGAGGAGCTGCGCCTGGGAGAGCGTCTCCCGGGGCCGCCGGGGAGCGGCGGCCTGGTCCTGTCCTACTTGACGTCAGTGAGCTTCTGACCCCGGAAGCCTGGACGAGGCTCCTGCTCTCCCTACCAGGCCACGGAAGTCACCTGGTGACCGTCCACGCTTAGTTAATCAGATAAGTCAGCCTGTTGGCAGATAGGCCCAAGAAAGGGACTGATTACATTTGGTGCTAGAGATTTTGAACTCCCAAGTAGTAGGCGGAAAATTCGTTTCACTAACAAGAAAATGACTACTGTACGGTAGAGATGGTATGGTCGGGAACTTTAATATGTCAATAAAGGCAATAAGCCCTACTTAAATCCATTTGCACCCACCTGAAAAGTTACTAGGATAGTTTTAAGAAAGTAAGAAATAAATCAGTAATAACAGTTGCTCATTTTTAGACATTTTTTTGTTGTTATTTTCACCTAAAGGAACATATAGAAATTTATCTAATTAATCAAATTCCGTAGTTTTGGTATTAAAAAAAAAAAAAAAAGAAACAACCTAAATGCCAATTAATAAGGGGCTGCTTGGATAAATTATAATAGAGCCATGCAGTGGATTACTGGGCAGTTCTTAATTAAAGCAAAAAACAAAACAAAACAAAACAAAAAACCTCTGTACAATATTATAAAGCAGTCTCCAAGAAAAACTGATAGATTTTGTAAAAAGCAAGGTGCAGGAGGATGAGTGTGCAAGAAGAAAGAATGATTGGTGACAGTAGAGTTGGTGAGATATCCTGTAGTGGGTGAGCTTTGTGATTAAAAAAGAAAACTATTTTTAATAATTTAAAACCCTCAAATTGAAAAAAATGTCTACTCTGTATAGATTCTGTATATATATTTTTATATATATACATAAATATTCTGTGTGTAGATCCTGATTATACCATTTTGTTGTTTTTGAGACTTGGCCTCACAGTGTGGCCTTGGCTAACCTGGAACTTACTGTGTAGACCAGGTAGGCCTTGCTATAATTTTAAATTTAGGTTTAAAATATGAGGGAGAAAGCAAACCATGGTTTTTGTTTTTCTGAGTGTGACTTATTTTTGCCTAATATATCATAATTTCATTTTTCTTCAGGCTATCTAAGGGTTCGTTGTGTGTATGTACTACATTTTCTGTATCTGTTGGTGGCTATCCAGGCTGCTTCCATTCCCTGGCTACTGTGACTGATTCAGTTCTAAACGTGGACGTGGAAGTATTCTGTGCATACCAAGTGGTGTGGCGGCATCTGTTTTGTGTATCTGTGGGCGTATGTGTGGAGGTCAGAGGATGAATTCTGGGAACTGGTTCTCTCTACCCTGGGGGTCCTGAGGGTGAACTCAGGACTTCAAGTTTAGTGGGAAGTGCCTTTACCCACTGCCCTGTTTCTGGTTTTGTTTTTCTCAGGTCATTGTGAGTGGATTATTTGGGGTGAGGGAAAATGATTGATTTTTACTGTTCTTTATATATCTTGGAAATTAATCCCTTGACTCATACATACATTTCAGGAAAAATCTTTTTTTTTTTTTCCCAATTCTGTAGACTGTCTCTTTACACCAGTGTTTATTTCATCTGTTGTCAAAGACTTAATTTCTCATAATCCCATTTGTCAGTTTTTAGGGATTTCTGTGATACTGGATTCCTGTTCAGAAAATCTTTCCCTATGTATTGCACTGTTTTCCCTATGTTTTCTTTTAGCACTTTTAGAGTTTTATATCTTAAATCGAGGACTTTGCTGCATTTAGAATTGACGTGTGCGGAGTGAGGAATATGGACCACATTTCTGCTCTGTGTGAAGCCAAGTCTTCCCAGCAGCTGCTGAAGAATCTGTCTTTCCTCCATTGTGTGTTTGTGCAGTGTAGCCAGCACGTGGGTGGCTATCACAGTGGAGTGTCTTTCTGTTCTATTCCACTGATGTTTGTGTCTGTTTTGAGCCAGTACCAGGCCATTTTTGCTTTTGTGGCTCTGTAATATAATTTGAGATGAGACATTGTGATACCTCCAGTTTTGATTTTTCTGCTAATGGTTGCATTAGTTATTTGAAGACTTTTGTACTTTTATACAAAAGGATTGCTTTCTCTAGTTCTATGAAAAATCTCATTGGACTTTATTTTAATAATTTATTTTTATTTTATGTACATTGGTGTTTTGCCTGCGTGTGTGTCTGTGTGAGGGTGTCAGATCTTGGAGATATATACTGGGAATTGAACCCAAGTCCTCTGGAAGAGCAGTCAGTGCTCTTACCAGCTGAGCCATCTCTCCAACCCATCTCATTTTTTAATTTTGATGGAGATTCATTGAACCTGTTGGTTGCTTTCAGTAATACAGCCAGTTCCACAATATTAATTTGGTCTAGCTGCAGGCACAGGAGATCTTTCCAACAAGCATCTCTTTCAGTTTCCTTAGTGTTTTAAAGTTTCCCTATAGAGATCTCACCATTTTGGTTAGATTGTTCTTGGGTTTGTTTTAAGCTTTAGTGAATGGAACCCCCTCTAAATAGTAATAATTTTACATTTTTTTGTCCTATTTATGTCTCTTCATTCTTTCTTATGCCTTACTGCTCTAGCTAAGATCTTAAGCATTATATTCAATAAGCATATGAGGATGGATGACCTTGTCTCGTTCCAGATTTTAGAGGAAATCTGTTTTCCCTGAGCATTTTTGCATCTGTGTTAATCAGGAAAATTGGTCTATGGATTTCTTTCTTGGTTTGTCCTTATGCAGTTTGGGGATGAGGCTAATGCTGGCTTTGTGGGATGAGTCTGGTAGTGGTCTCCCTATTTCTATTTTATTGAAATCATTTGAGGAACACTGGTGTTCTTTAAAGGTTTGGTACCTATAGCTATGGACTGTCCTCTTAGAACTGCTTTAGTTCTGTCTCAAAGGTTCTGAAAGGCTGTGCTTATATTTTTTTGAATCTAGGAACTTTTAAATTTCCCTGATTTCCTCAGCGACGCCCTTGGTCATTCAAGTTTCTATAAATTGATATTGATTTCTTGTTTATTGTACTGGGACCTGATAATATTTAAAGACATTGTATCTGTTCTTTTGGCAAGGCTTGATGTATGTCCTGGAATGCATTTTATTTCAGAGAAGATTCCATGAATTTGTATTGTGTTTCTGTTGGATGGAATGTTTTATAGATACTTAATTCCATTTGGCGAATGGTACAGTTTAACTTACTTTTCTTTGTTGATTTTTTTGTGTGTGCACATGTGTGTGCGTGTTTACGAATATAAAGGCCAGATTGATATTAATGTCTTCCTCTATCACTCTCTAGTGTGTATGCTGAGACAGGGTTTCTTACTTGCTGGCTTCTATAGTCTAGTTGGCCCTCTTACTGCCTGGATTCCCTGTCTCCACTTTACTACCATAGCCACCCAGCTACCAAGGATCTGGACTCTGATCCTCACTCTTGCGTGGCAAGCACTGAGCCGGATCCCTAGCCGTCCGTTGATGCTTAGTTTGGATGACCTGTCTAGGCATGAGAGCAGGATATTGAAATTGCCTGTGATTCTTGTGTCAGGACCTACCTGACACTTTATGTGCACATTAGTGTTTATTTTGTGAAGTCGGGAGCTCCAGTGTTTGTTTCATCAATGAATTGTTCCCTTTATTAATATGTAGTGGCCTTGTTTCTTCTGACTGGTTCTGTTTTTTCGACTTTCAGACAACAGAGTAGCTGCTCCAGCTAATGTTTAATTTGTTTGCTTGATCGATTGATTTCCCACCGTTGACTCTCATTCTGGGTGAGAGTGCTGTTTCTCATAGACAACAGCTAGTTCATCTAGTTTTCTAATCTAATCAGAAAGTCTGAGCCACTTTATCAGTTAGTTGAAGCCTTCACACTATGGTTATTATTGAGAGATGTTTATGGTTGTTTGGATTATTTTTAGTCTTTGCTTTTTCCCTGTTAGTGTCAGGGACTTACTGGTTCAGTATATGCAACTTCATGGATTCTTCTTCTCTTTGCTCTCCTTTCTTTTTAGCTTTCAGGAAGTTAATTCTTCCCTGTGAATTTTTCTGGGTATGCTGGAACTCACTTTGTAGGCCAGGCTGGCCTCACACTCACGGAGACCCGCCCACCTCCGCCTCCTGTGCTCAGGATTGGGGCTGTTCTTCCTTTGGGTTCAGTCACCTCCCACATTCTTTGACAGGTCTGACTTAGTGATCGCGGTGAAGTGCTTTATTTGTGCTTGTTTGGAGACATCCTTATTTCACTGTCAGTCTTCTTTTCTGTGTATGGATGCTTGCTTGCATTTATGGCTGTGGACCGTATGTGTGCCTGCTGTCCTTACAGGCCAGAAGAGAGCATCCGGTGCCTGAGGACGGCACTTAAGATCTGATGTGAACTGCCAGATTGATGCTGGGAATCCAACCCAATTCCTCCGGAAGGGCAGCCCGCGCTCCTAACTGCTGAGGCATCTCCCTAGCCGTCACAGCCAATTTTAAAAGATGGATTTTTGGGATATGGCAGCCTTGGTTGGTAGTTATTTTCTTGAGAGCTTGAAATGTATTTTATTTCATGGGTTTTTTAGTTCGAAAAGCAATCCTGTTTTTGAGGGTTGCTGATCAAGAGATCTGGTGTTGTTCTCATGGTTAGACTTCATAGGTGAGTTATGCATATTTTTTTCTTTTTACAGTTTATAATGTTTTTTCACTTTGCGTTTGAAAAATAGGTTTTTAAAATTTTTTAAATTATGAGTATGTGGGGGTGTTGCACAGGAGTGTTGGTGCCTGCAGAGGCCACAGATTTTGCATCCCCTGGAGTTGGAGTTTCAGGCAGTTCTGAGCAGCTTGACATGGGTGCTGGGAACGCTACTCCGGAAGCGCAGCGTGTGCTCTTAACCAGTACTTTGCAGTTTTGATAGCGTGACTCTCATGTCGTGGAGAAGCTTTTCTCCAGTCACAGCTATTTGGGATTCTAAGTCTCCAGATGTGTTTTGAGTGTCCATTTCTTTCTCTAGATTCGAGGAAATTTCTGCTCTGATGGCAATGAATGGATATTCTATGTATTTGGTGTTTATTTCAGCTTGTTCTTCTATCCCATGGACTCTTAGATTTGCTCATTTGGTTGTATCTCATTTTAGTTATGTTCCTTATTGATATTTGAATGCAGTGTTTAGTCATCCTTGACCTCCATTCCTGATACTTTACTTTCTAACATTTCTGTCCTTCCTTCTTCCTTCCTTCCTTCCTTCCCTTCCTCCCTCCCTCCCTCCCTTCTTTCTTTCTTTCTTTCTTTCTTTCTTTCTTTCTTTCTTTCTTTCTTTCTTTCTTTCTTTCTTTCTTTCTTTCTTT